CCAGTTTTCCCAGCACCACTTGCTGAAGAGACACTGTCTTTATTCTATTGGATATTCTTTCCTGCTTTGTCAAAGATTAGTTGACCATACGTTTGTGGGTCCATTTCTGGGTTCTCTATTCTGTTCCACTGATCTGAGTGTCTGTTCTTGTGCCAGTACCATACTGTCTTGATGATCACAGCTTTGTAATACAGCTTAAAGTCCGGGGTTTGCTGAGCTTCCTGAAAATTTGTGTTTATAGTTTTGGAAAGTTTTTGATCATTCCTTCTTCCATTTTTTTCCTCTTTTTTTTTTTTTTAAACATTTTTATTTATTTTTGAGAGACAGAGAGAGACAGAGTACAAGTGGGGAAAGGAAAGAGACAGAAGGAGACACAGAATCTGAAGCAGGCTCCAGGCTCTGAGCTGTCAGCACAGAGCCCAACATGGGGCTCAAACCCACAAACCACAAGATCATGACCTGAGCTGAAATATGATGCTTAACCGACTGAGCTAATCAGGCGCCCCCCTCTCCTTTTCTTCAGAGATTCCAACTGCTCATATGTTAGCCTACTTAATGTGTCTCACAGGTCACAAATATTTTTTTTAATTATTTTTTCTGTGTTTCATTTTGGATAAATTCTATTGCTCTATCTTCAAGTTCACTAATGTTCCTATAATGTCTACTCTCTAACATTAATCTCATCCAGGGCATTTTTCATTTCAAGCACTGTAATTTTTATCTCTAGAAGTTAGATTTGTACTTTTCTAAATATCCTTCATGTCACTACTTAACTTTTTGGATATATGGACTATAGTTATAATAACTGTTATGTCCTTGTCTGCTAATTCTAACCTCTGTTTCCGGTCTAAGTCAGTTTTGATTGATTTGTCTCCTCACTCTAAATTGTGTTTCTCTTCTTCTTTACATGCCTAGTAATCTCTGACTGAATGGCAGACACTGTGAATTTTATCTTGTTGGGTTCTGGACATTTCTGTTTTCCTATTGATATTCCTGTGCTTTTGGGGGGCACCTGGGTATCTCAGTTGGTTGAGCATCCTACTCTTGATTTTGGCTCAGATCACGATCTTGTGGCTTGTGAGATGGAGCCCAGTGTCAGTCTCTGCGCCAACCGAGCAGAGCCTACTTGGGATTCTCTCTGCCCCCTCCATCTCCCTCTCAAAATAAATAAATAAAACATTACAAACAAAATATTCTTGTGCTTTGTTTTGTGAGGTAGTTAAGTTATGTGGAAACAGTTTGATTCTTTCTGGTCTTGCTTTTAAGATCTGTAGTAGGGACCAGAGCAGTGTTTATTCTGGTCCTAATTATTCCCCACTACCAAACCAAGATATAACCTGAGTATTCTACCCAATGCCCTATAAATCATGAAGCTTTCCATTTTGGCTGGTATAAACAAGCCAGTGCGAGCACTGGATACAGTTCCTTCCAAACCTATCACATAGTTCTTGGAGTTTCCTCATATGTCTGTTGATCAACTGTCTGCTGAATACCCAAAGGGAATCACAGGTATGGTGCTGTCTGTCCTCTCCAGTACACTGTCCTACGCTGTCCTGTAAACTCAACCCACCTTAGTCTTCCACAGTCTCAGTTTATAGAGTCCTTCAGACTCCAAGTGGGTCCCTCACCCCTGAGCTACAGCCTAGAACTTCTCTCTAGGCTAGAAGCTAGGATAATAACAGGGCTCATGCCATTTGTTTCCCATTTTGTCAGAGATTGCTGGCCTTCACTACCTGGTAGCCAGTATCTTGAAAAGTTTTTTTTTTCTTTCTTCTATACGGGAGAGTAATCCAGTGCCCACTAATCCATCTTGGCCAAAAGTACAAGTTCAAAGTCAAACACCATTTTTAATAACCATTCTAACACAAGAAAATACGTAAGTGTGGGATAATAATTAGTCTTTAGTGAACTCTACTGCATTACCATTTCTTAGTCTGGATTTTCTTGGTTTCTACGTTTATTTATTTTTGGGACAGAGAGAGACAGAGCATGAACAGGGGAGGGGCAGAGAGAGAGGAAGACACAGAATCGGAAACAGGCTCCAGGCTCTGAGCCATCAGCCCAGAGCCCGACGTGGGGCTCGAACTCACGGACCGCGAGATCATGACCTGGCTGAAGTCGGACGCTTAACCGACTGCGCCACCCAGGCGCCCCTCTTGGTTTCTAAATTCTGAGGATGGAAGACCCTTTCACATATTTTTTAAATGCTGAAGTCCTAATATCTCAGCGAGATGTGACCAATGGCTGCATATCACAGAGTAGATGCTCATTAAATATGAACATCATTACTTTTTTCTTCCATGAAATTAACCAGGAAAGCCTCTAAATTTCCTGCTTAGAAATTATTGCTTTTGGAAACAAGAGATCAGAATTCAAAGAAATTTAACTGTAAACTACATGTGTAAAACTGCCTTTAGCAAAAGGCTATCATTGTGGTTGCTTAAAATACAGTAAAATTAACACTAAGATCATACTTCTGTGTCTTCCTTCTCTCTCAACTCCTACATTTCATATACCTGTTTCTAAAGAACCTTCTTTCCTCCTCTCAGAGCCATCTTTACCTTTTAGTTCCCACAGCCACCACACCTGCTAAAGCCTTTACCAATCACCCAAATATTTCCAAAGCCTCACAGGCTATCTGTCTCCAGTCATTCGGCCCTTAAATCTACCAGGCTTATTGCCACCATATTAAACTTCCTAAAATATTCTGCTTTTATAATTTCTTTCTCATAAATTTTCAATTTCATTTTATTATTTTAGCATAAAAGTTAAAATTCTTTGGTATTATATTAGTCACATTTTTTTAACAGAAGACCACAGGAATTACTGTTTTAGTTCACATCCCTGAAGACTCATAAACACACCCATATCCACTTCAATCTAGTGGCTTTTAAAGACACACCTAACTAACTCCTCAGTTCCTATTTCTAAAACAAACAACAACAAAATACCAAGTTTATCAAAGCAGTACTAAGATAATGGATTGCCCTTACCAGTGCCTGGCTAACATTTCCTCCGGTGGCTAGGGATTTGAAATGGCTGCTGTTATAGACCAACTGAACTTCTGAGATCTCCACCGTTTCTAATTCCTCTTGAGTCTGCCGATCGATCACATGCAACTTCTCCACGCTGTCCAAGAGCACAACTGTACGTGAGTTTATCCACTGCAAATCAAGCACACCACAAAACAAACGTGAGGCCCATCCCACATCATTCAAGACAAAAAGGAAGCCTGGCCACTCAGGTTAAATTACGTTGAGGATTTTATCCATTCAGTAACTTGATAACAAACAATCACAGCAAGAACTACTCTGGTGACAGTAGTGGCCACACTGTGGTGGGTGACAGTGCACAACACGGTATTGAGTCTGACGGTGTTAAAATGACTCCTAGTATTTAAAAAAGGTAACTAAGAGCTTTAACAGATATATTACAGGATATGTTAGTTTCAGTACAATTATAAGGTACACTGGCACAAATGACTTAAGGAAAATGACAAAATATGCATTTCTTGTGTGTCTGATATTAATTTTTAAAAAGGCAAACAAACCTCCTAAACCTAGGTGGTCAAATGATTGTTAGCGTTTATATGCTTTTTAAAACAGAAGCTGTTTAAAACATGTATTTCCTTTAAAACCTCCCTACCAATTACGGGAGAGTCTATTTCTATTTCTCTATGTTCCAAATTTTCTTTAATAAATACTATTATAATTTTAGAATAACTTAATAATAATATTAAAAATCTTCTGAAGGATGCCATTTTGATAAATTTCTTGGGTTTTATATAAGATTTCTTACTTTCAAAATGATTTTTTTTTCAAATTTCAATCCTTCCCCAGGAAATAAATGGAGTTTTAAAAGCTGCTCAATTAGAATTCTAAATAAGCCAGAATAGAGTGCTTCTCCTACACTCTCTCTGGCATTCATGTTGTTTTATTTATATGACCTATTCCATGTCATCAGAGATTATCTGCATAATGCCATATAAAAAAAACCAAGTTAAAGTGGATACATTTTAACATGCTGAAAATGCACTGTCACCATATAGTGGCTACTATAAGGGAAGGGTGTTTCTCTGTTTTGCTTTCCCCCCCAAAAATTATCTCTCACAGAACAGGAAGTTTGATACTCAAGACTTTACAAAGAGCACTTACAAGGTGCTCTCTTCATTATTTTAAAAAACAAAGTATCATTTAGGAAAGACACATTATTAGCCTTATACAACCTTAGTGCTAGCTTTTATTTATTTATTTTTTTACAGGGAGAAAAATCTAACGGTCATACATTTTACAGAGAGATCATCAGTTTTGAAAAATATTTATCATCCTATTTTTTTTAAGGAGGGTATACATCTGTTCTTTATTTACCATTCCACTTATCAGTCAGAACCAGTGTTGCTATCTTCTTTGTTTGGATTTTTATAAAGATAGGCTCCTTTCACAAATACAAGCAAGATCATCATCTAGGTAATTCAAGTCAAAAATTACTTAGGTATCTTCACAGAATACAGGAGAAAAAGAATACCTGAATCCAGATTACCACTTATCTGTAAAATATCTTATTTGAATTTTTACAGACAGGTTTGGAACTCTTTGCAGCATCAAATATGAAAACAAATCACAGTAATAATTAATAGATTTGGCTAAGTTTTAGCCATGTTCACAATTCTGTTTTTTAAAATAAACTTTTTATTTTTACTACAGTTTTAGATTTACAGAAAAATTGAGGACAGTGCAGAGATTTCTCTTATGGTCCCGCACACAGTTTCCCCTACTATTAATTTCTTGTATCAGTACAGTAGCCAAAATCAATATTGATACATAGTTTTAACTGAGATCCATACTTCATTCAGAGTCCCTTCATTTTTATCTAATGTCCCTTTTCTGTCTCAGGCTCTCATTCAGGGAACTGCATTACATTTAGTTGTCACATCTTCTTAGGCTCCTCTTGACTATGACAGTTTTTTTTTTTATACTTCCCTTGTTTTCGATAACTTTAACAGTTTTGTTTTATTTTGTTTTAGAGAGAGAGAGCACACAAACAGGGGAGAGGAGCAGAGGGAGAGAGAGAAACAATCTCAAGCAGGCTCCACACTCTGTGGAGCGGATGTGGGGCTCGATCCCACAACCCTGGGATCATAATCTGAGCCAAAATCAAGAGTTGGATGCTCAACCGAGCCACCCAGGTGCCCCAACTTTAACAGTTTTAAAGAGCACTGGTCAGGTATTTTTTAGAATGTAATTCATTCAGGATTTGTCTAGTGCTTTTCTCATGAGTAGACTCGAGTTATATAGGTTTTTGGAAAGAAGACCATAGAAATAAAGTGTCATTTTAATCACATCATATTATATGCTTTCACAGGTCACCTGGTTAAAACAGACAGAATGACAAAGAGTGTCAGCAGGCATAGCAATTATTCCGAAGATTAGACCCTCACGACTGCAACTGCTGACATTGTTGTAAACAAGACTTTTAATGGAAACTTGTAAAGCAATGCAGTTAGTGTCGCATCATGGGTAAGCCACAGGACAAATGAAAACACCTACTGCCCTCCTATTCAGAGAATGGCTACTTGTGGTCGAGGGAAAATTTTCCAGGGACAGAATTACACGCAGATTTTAGAAGTGCCATATCTCAAATATCTTAAACAGAAGTAATGATGAAGAATTCTAGGAAACTGTTAGATAATTCAATAGGGGCTCTGGTGATGACAAAGACACTGATGTCTTACATTCGTGAGAAGAACTTGAACAAAATTACTTTATGAAATGAGTATGGAAAAAAGTATTATTTCTAAATTTATAGTCTATACGTGAGATGAAAAGACAATGTGCAACTAAATTAATAAACTGTATATTATGAAGAAAAGATCATTTCATCTATATCCTAAAAAGTTACATATCATCAAGTTAGGGGAGTAACTTTTTTTAGCCATTTTATTAGAAAAATGAGGCACTGACTCTTATCTAAGGTTGCCTATATTCATGCATATATAGAATATTTCACTGGATATTGATATGCCAAAAGGATTAATGATAGAAACCTAGAAATATTATAATTACACTGCTTACAAAATGGACACACCATTTGAAAAAGAAAAGATAAAATTTGATACAAAAAAGACATACTCTCTTTTTTTAAACCAACAAGTTGCTCAGGAAGGACTGAGAGGTGTCATATAGAGAAAATTCTGCTAAGCTTTTAGCCACGAAAAAAGAATTACATAAACTCCTGAACCAATTAGGACAAGCCCAAAAGTACAAAAGTGTGTTTACCAAGAAAGCCAGGCAATGATCTTTAAGAAATCCACCCAAATTCTTCTGAACACCCCTTTGAACTAATCAGGACATCAAAGAAAACTTTTCCTAATCCTGTCGGTGTTCAACAGGACATAAGGCTGAAAGGCAATTAAAAATATGATGGCATCATACCAAACTCAGACTCCATTCAGTATAAACAGAACTTCACTTCTGTCCATATTTTACATAATCCTAAAGGTCATGGTTCGTGACAGAAATCCTGGTAGTTCAAATACACCACGGACTCAAAACAATTACATGAAATGAATGGGGCACATCAATGTGAATAATACTCACAGTGAAGTTGATGAGGTCATAGTAGAGGTGAAGATGCTTTTGCTTAGTAACATGTATTGCTCCAGACTCATCTCTCTTCACCTGATGATGAAATAAAAACCACCTAAACACCAGCTGCTTTTTGAGGGACTTGTTTTTAGGTACTTAATTATACTCCACCTAGAAAATGATTTCCATTCACATTATGGATAAGCCCAGAAATATTGGCAACTACAGAAACTATTACGCAAATGAAAAAAAACATTCACACCATGATCTGTAGCGAAATCCAAGGCATATGTGACAGTGGTCTAGTTGTCAGTACTTCATGCATTTTCACTCTACTATAATTCAGAACAAACTAACTTCATCCCATCAGTGACTATACTTAGCTAGAGTTAAGCATAAAATGGGATTGACAACATGGCATGATAGTCAAACAGGTCATTAAAAAAAAAAAAAAAAAACAAGAAGGAAGCTGGGACAAAACTAGACTTTTCTGAAGTATGCTATTACAGCTCAAATAGACCCAAAATTTCCCAAGAGAAGCTCAAGTGTCAATATTTTATTTACATATGTGTACATACAGTCTCTAATCTTTAATCATCCTTATAATTTGCTTTCTCTACTTCTACTCCAAGGTGACAGAGCACTGAAAAAGAGACACAGTAGTAATCCAACCCTCCTGAAATGCATGACATCCCATCCAACCTGGGTTCTCTTACACTCTCCCATAGTAGTGTTCTAGATGTCTTCCTTTCCCTTTAAGCCCCAATTTCTCTTTCCCTTTAAGCCCCAATGTCTCTTTGCTCCAATCACTTAACAGTGTTGACCTCTCCAGACACCTTAACAACTGAGACCTCTTAATGCAGGCCCTTCATATTCTCTCATCTTTGGTTCACTAAGTCACTTTCCCTGTAAGAAATGATACTCTAGCAGAAGGAGAATGTGTTTCAGCTCCACTATTATAGCTGTGTGACCGAGGGCCAATCACTTACTCTTTCTCAGTTTCGTCCTTTGAAAAATGAAAATAAGCACCAAATTGTTCCCTATTTGGCATATGCTGAAAGTGTTTCACAAACAAACAAACAAACAAACAATAATGCCAACGTTACCTATTCTCCTAAGATTCACTGGAGCCCTTGCTAAAGAAAATCCCTTCATTTCTATACACTCTAAATCCCACCCCCTCCATCACTGTTTAATATTACCCCTCCCTTGCTGGCATATTCATTCACACTCCCTTTAAAAGGCCCTTTTCCTTTTGCTATCCAACATGTTTCTGACTTTTCTATCTTCAAATTAAAAAACAAAAGCAAAAAGCCTTTCCTTGATTTGTTTCTTACAGACATTTAATCATTGTCTTTCCTCTTTTGGCTAAATGCAATGATTATGTGAATTTGTTCTCCTACATACCCATTTCTTTAACAAGGCTCTACACTGTGGCTTCCACCTCCATTCCATTGATATTCAGTCCTCTGAAAAGTTTCTAATCAAGAACATTTGCACATCCAGTGGTCTTATCTTCAGTCTTCCCCCTTGATCTTTATTTAATAATGCTATTACCCTGAAACTGACATGGTCCAGAAACCTTTCCTATGTCTCCTGTGTGACACCATACCATCTTACTTCCCCTTCTACCTCTGGGTGCCTTTATTGGAACATTCTTTCTTGACTTTTTTTTTTTTTTTCCCTTTCCCTTGTGAGTGCCCACCAAGGTTATGTATGCTCTGGCTTTTGATCTTCACAGCTTCAACTACATCTCTATTCTGAAATTCTCACTTGCACTGCAGACCTGGATTGCCATTTGCCCAGAGGACATTCCCTGAGAGAACACTTAAGAATCACACCTTCACTTCTATCTCAATACATTCAAATCCTCTGTAACCCTAACCTTTCAAATAGTTCATGCTCCTAAAATGCAAAGTCAGAATCAAAATGTTTCATTCATGTCCTTCAGTTTCCAGATGCAGTAAGATAAGAAGCTTCATCTTTCCTTTAAAATGTCATCCCTAACTCTCACTGCAACCAAGCATCCTGGTCTAAAAACCTCACACCTGCTTTGACACAAGAACAAAACCCTCCATTTCCCTGCTACCACCTATAATCTATTCTTTCTCCTACTTCTACATTGATCTTCCTAAAATACCACTTTAATCACATCTTTATCTCTTTAATTACCTAAGAACCTGTGACAACTCCTCATTACCAATCTAGGCCAATTATGTAAACTAGATCAGGGGGTCAACAAACTTTTTCTGTAAAAGGCCACGTAATAAATATTCTAGGTTCTGTGGACTATACAGTCCTGTAACAACTGCTCATTCCTGCCACTGTAGCGTGAAAGCTGCCACAAATAATACATAATCAAATGGGCATGACTGTGTTCCAATAAAACTTTATTTAAAAAATCAAGCAGTTGGCCAGATTTGGTACCCAGGCTTTTGTTTGCCACACCGAATAAAAATCTACACCATATATTCAACTTTATTTTCCACAGGTTTCTCACTCTCATTAAACATTTATTAAGCATCGACTACATACAGGCACTGTCCTCACTGCTGGAATCCTTAGACTTATGGAGCTTTCACTCTAATGATGAAGAAAAATATTAGACATGTAATTTTAAAAGTGCTGAATATTACCAAAGGAGAACACAGAAGGTCTTATGGGTGTACATAGCAGGGAACAGTTCAGGAAGTCAGGGAAGACAATGTTAATCATTATTTAGGTAGGATAAAGCAGAAGAGAGCACACAGCTTCCCTGGCAGAGGTGAGAGCATATGCAAAGACACCAAGGCTAGCACCTGGTTAGAAAGCTCTGCCAGAGCCACAGCTAAAAGAAATGTCAGTGGTTTAGGCTAGGGAAGCAGCCATGGGGGAGTAAAAAAAAAAAAAAGGGGGGGGGGGAGTAAATTCAGGAGATGTTGGAGACAGAGTCAACAGGAAGCAGTGAAGAAGCAGAAATGAAAGGAGAAAGGGAAGTGAAAGGCAACCCCTAGGTTTCTAGCTGGAGAAACTAGGTGAACAGTTGTGTCCTTGCTTCACTGAGCTAGGAAACCCAAGAAGAGATTATGCAGACATTCTTACCTCTATAACTTCAGTTCATCTTATTTCTCCCAATATGCATACCCACCCCTCCTGTGATATTGGCCACATATCCTTCATAGAGTCTTACAGGGCCTACCCAGTCCATACAAATCTCTCCATACTCTGAACTTACATCAACTTTTAGTTCTCATCACATAGCTGAATCCTTAAACATAGTCGTCTCCCGAGTAGTAATGAGCATACTGGTTTTGCCTCTCAAACAATACTTGAAGTTATGTGAAAGAAGAAATGTTTGAGACTTCCTTCAACTGTTTCTATGTCCATCAGTGTAGAGAACACAGAACGTGACCAATGATACCTGTTGTCTAATAAATACAGCATATGTAGATAGGTAAGCCTTTAATAGACACATGTACACTCATATATTTATACATACACATAAACCATTATTTGTTGGTCAAAGGAGTTGGAACTGAGGAATACACCATGAAGGGGCATGGAGCTGAGGTGATCAGTTGTTTTCCATGTTAATCACTAAAGCCCTAAATTAAAATAAATGATCACTCTCTCTCCAAAGAATTTTAGTAGCATATTTCTTTGACACAATCAATATTAAATCACTGGTAAATCAGGAAAAAATATTATGATAAAAGACTTTTTAACAAATCTAGTATCATATCAGGATTTACCAACAGAAAATGAACAACATCTCCTCTGCAGAAGGCAAGCATGGGATTCACGTAATTATGCACTGCCACAAAGTGCCAGGCCAGCAACGGAACACTGGAAGGATCCATCTAAGTGAAGAGAAGGCCAAAAAAAACAAAAAAACAAAAAAACAACAAACCATCACAGTTAACAGACAGCAAGAAAAAGAGAAAATTAATTAAAAACAGCATCTGACTACTGTTCCTTGATAAAACATCTCCCAATTTCTCATTACAATTCCAGTGAAGCAGGAACTGACTGGGAGGTGTCATGAGGGTACTTTCTGGGTTGATGCTAATCTTGACAGAGGTTTGGGCTACAAAAGTATATACATTCGTTAAAGTTCAGCAAATGTATATTCAAGATGTATGCGTTTCATTGCAAGTAAATTCTACACCAAAGGAGAAACAAATATTCAACTCTAGCTAAACATAATAATGCATGTTGCATATTTAGGCAAAAGAGTGTTTACTTCTGCAATTTAGTTGGAAATACATTTAAAATAAGTGATGGGTGGACAGAGAGATGGCTAAATATATAATAAAGTAAGCTATTAATAACAGAATTTAGATAGTAGGTATACAGGTGTTCAATGTAAAATTCTGTTTCTTTATTTGAAAATGTTAATATTGGTAAAAACGATAAAAGACATTAGGAAGATGCAAACACATACCACCATGATAAACCTCACTTAGCCAGGGAAGCTTAGGTTTCTTAGGTTTAAGAAATGTTAATGACAATCTAAGCTAGCTGCACCATCTGAAAGAGCAGATCTGCTTCCCCAGGGACCCAGAGATACACAGAGTAACAACAAACAAACAGAAGAGTGATCTCCCTCAGTATCGGCACTGCGTTTGCAATTAGTCTTGGCTCTGTACCATCGTTCTCCATCTCATCCTATCAATACCTCTCCTCACATATACACTGGAAGATCACAACTCTCTGAAAACAACCAAGCAGGAAAAGAAAAGGAAACTGGGGTATGCATAATCGATTCTGGGAAGTATCATCCCCCAAAGTAAAATACTAGGCAGAAGCCAAAGAAAGCACAAGTAGTAGCAATTTATGCTAGATCTTACGATGGGGTGTTCTCTATCTGTAGTTCAGTAGCAAAGCAGCAGCTGTTTATGAGAGAACAACTTAAAACAATAAAGGTAGAAAATTAAAAGTCTCATGATCCCAGAACACCGCTCTAGTCACCAGTTTATGCTGCTTTGGTCACATGAAGGTTAAGACCAGACAAATGATCTTTGGAGCAGTGACTTCCATTCTACCTCATTTTCTAACAATCTCACAGAATTCACCACATACAAGTCATTTTCCCCCTCCTGGATTGGTCTTTTTGCTAATAAGTTGGAGAGGTTTACTCACCCGTCCATAGGGAAAAGTCATCCACACTTTCAAGGATGGTTTCAATCCAATGACCAGTATCTTTAGAAGAAAAATGTATTTTTAATGTTTATAATTTTCTATTTTGGGTATTCAAAGCCTCTAAAAGTTATGAGTTTCACCTTCTAAATACACTGACCTTTGTTAAGGATGCCATGGCCAATAAGGAAAACTGTGTGATGGGATGATCTTTCAACTCGGGCTTAGAATGAAGAGGCTCAATACAGCAAACTTCACCCTTGGAACCACTGAACAGACACCTAGATTCACACGTTCTCACTCCCATCACTCTCCTGCAAATGTAACCAAAACATTCAGAATTGATTTAGTAATGAGATTCAAGACACTACCATCTCAAGCATGGACTATTACAGTAGCCTCCTAACTCCTATTCTTGCCTCCAACAATCTAACTCCGTAAGACAGCAACACAATCTCTGTAATGTAGAAGTCAGATTTATCACTCTTCTCCTAAAAACAGCCCAATGCCTGGCCGCTGTACATAAAATAAAATCCAAACTCTTTACAATTTTTTAAAAGTTCCTGTATGATCTGGCTCCTACCTTCACTGCTCTCCCACTACTGCCAAAGTCACGCTCCAGCCACAACTGCCTTCTTCCCATTGTTCTAGCAAGCCAAATTTGTGCTTGCTTCAAGCCTTTGTGCTCGAACATCCCTCTGCCTAGAACACTTCTTTGCATTTGTTGACCAGATTATCATTCAGGTCTTTGCTCAAGTGTCACCTTCCTGAATTATCTTCAGGTGCACTCCAGCAAGCTGACTGGTCTTATTCTCTTCACAGCACTCATAACTATCTGAACTTACCTCATTTATGTGTTCATTTATTGTCTGTATCCCTACCCCAGCCCCAACTAGAAAGTAAGTTCTATCAGAGGAGCAACCTTGTCTGGTTCACAGCTGCAAGTCTGGTGCCTAGAACAATGTCCACCCATAGGAGATGCTCAACAAATATTAGCAGAATTAACAGTACTTTGTAAGCAATTACCTTGTGCTTAGCAGTATTAGAAAGTATAAGAAATATAAGAAACATAATCCTTACTCTGAAAACTTATGGAAACACAGTACACATTGAATTTTATGTTCTACTTCTTTTTTAAAACTCTGCCTTATAATTATTCTCCCATGTATCCAAACAGTCTTTACTCTTAAAGAGAAATAGGGCAATTCGAAGGTAATAAAAACCTTTCTACACCTGTCTGTTAGGGTTATAATCACCTAGACCTGAAGCCTAAACCAAAATTAGTGACATACTCCAGAATTATGGTTCCTAAGCCTGACAGCTCATATGAATTCCTTGGGGAAGAGTTCAGCATCCCAACTCAGACCTACTGAGATAGAATTTTGGGACACCAGGCCTGGAGCTCCAAATGCCTCCCAGGTCATGATAATATACAGACATAACCTATTTTCAATCACATGGGTTTTCCAGACCTCTTCATGTTTAACTTCAAGTCATTAAACCAGAGTTAGTCTTTTCATTTCATTTCTCAACAAATGTCCATTAGTCTCTTACTTAAATGTCAATTCAAAAACAGAGCCTCCGCTGTCATTGCAAATTGCAAGAGTTGGATCATCTGTAAACTAAACAGAGAAGAAATTAATTTCTTACAGATTTTTCAACAACCAGTCAAATATCAAAAAGGTAAGGGAAAAAACTTACACATTTTAAAAATCTAAAAACAAACATAATTCAATAGCATTTGAAATCACCTAAACTTGATTTAGCTCATCATCCTAAATATTCAGAATAAAAATGACTGTCTTCAAAAAACTGAGGCTTTAAAAAAGTAAAACCACCTTCGATCAGGATAAAAGAAAAATAAAAACTACGACTCATATCAGCCCTAAAGTTTTCCACTTGGTTTCTTAATGTTAACTTTTTCTAACATGCTATTAAACTGAATAGGATACACTGGATACATTTGCAGTTGTCTAGTTTCGAAGAACAAAGACACAGTGAAAGATATTTGCTATCTTTGGGAAATAAATTTGAATATGTTTTCTATATAACTGAAGAATTAACCCATTTAAAATAGTTGAACTTTTTATGTAACTCTACCAAAAATGTGCTTCCACCTGATCTTTGACAGGGTATACTTCAGTTATTATGACCTACTCTGGAAAACCCAAAATAACGAATAATGTTCACAATGACAGCCTTAAGAGCTTATGAGGTATGGTAAATATGAATGCTGTATGATACAAAAGTGAGTAACCTGAGTCATTTATAGTGACTAGTCTCCCTAACCCCATAGGTTGGTAAGCCATCCCAAAGCGCATGTCTTCATCCTCTTAGTCAGGGACAGTTGAGGTACCGGAGGCTACTGTAAAATTATTTTTCCTCAACCCCACACACAACCATAACAAAGAAGACCCACACCTGTGCTCTCAATTCTCCTAGCTGAGCAACTGCCAGAGTGGGAGGTATATACCTGGAATGTAGGAAAAGCAGTTGAACTTGCAGTTTTATTAGTCTTCTACTTATATGTATGTGTTTTGTAATGTACTTAAATATTAGTACAGTAGTACATTCATACTATTTCTTAAAAAAAAAAAAATATATATATATATATAAAGGATGTAATCCCAAATTGTTATTGATGGTACACAGGGTTAAGTTTGGAGAACAATGAGTAAGAGTACTAAAGCACACATGGCCGTTGTCAATCCAAGACCCAGGAAGTATTCAACCATATACATCACTTGCTACTTCTTACTGCAATGTCCAATCTCAAGCAAAACAATGGCTACTACTTCTATGCTTTTAAGTTTATTTTGAGAGACAGGGATGGGGAGAACACGTGTGCACCTACGTGTGTGAATGGGACAGGGAAAGAGACAGAGGGAGAGAAAGAATCCCAAGCAGGCTCCATGTTGTCAGCACAGAGCCTGATGTGGGACTCAATCTTACAAATTGTGAGATCATGACCTGAGCTGAAATCAAGAGTTGGACGCTCAACCAACTGAGCCACCCAGGTACCCCTGACTTCTATGCTTTTCACCTCGGCTGTATTCCTCTCTTTCCTGTTGGCATTTATCTCTTCTGTTTCCTATTGTTTCTCTCAAGGATTTTGCTTTTTGCTGTAAATGGACTATCCTTTTACAAACACCACCAATTATTCCTTCAAGCAAACATTTATTGAGCAGCTACCATGCATAACACAAAAATAAATGAGAAACAGATTCTAGTTTTAAAAATCTTCATCTATTAAAGGATGTAAGACATAAAAACAAACAACTATAACATTTTAGAAGTTGGCACATACCATAGGAAAGGAGGTCAAGAAAAATTGCCATGATGTTCAGAAAGAGGAGAAATTCTACTTTTACTGGTCTGGTTGTTTTCGTTGTTACTAAATGCTTCAATGCTGCTCTGTCACAAAAGACTTTTATGTAACTAACCTAGATGCAGACACATAAACTCCAGATGCTTACAGACTTTAAAAAGCATATGTATGGATAAGAGGTCTGCTCAGCTAAGCAACCAAATGTGTACATGATTAAAATCTAGAAGATCTGATTTTAGACTTCCCTAGTTACAGTCCTTTACCTTTTATGCTTCTGAACATGGGCTTGACAGCATACAAAATCCAAAGTTCACATTGTATTTATAAATGAAATCTGTTACCTAGGTTGGTTTATTTTTTTCAGATTGTAAGGAGAAAGCCAAGATGCAAATCTTAATGCTTTTCCCTTAGAGGCCTGAAAGAAAATAAACCAACAGATGCATTTTTAAACATAATGCGAACCTTGGTTCTTTCACAGTTGGTGCCTTGAACCTCAGGTAATTCTCAACCAAGTGTCACAGAGCAACGCTGTTGGGTAAAAAGACCTTTTAAAATCTTCCCATGAGTTTTCAGCAGGGTAATGCCTGTCTACTGACAACCTGTGGTCCAGGATCACATCAATGTTCTCTTTCTGCTACTCATCTATACAATAGGCTAGCCCATCTTCAGTTCTAACCTGGAAAACATCCCATTGGGCTAGTAAAAAAAAAAAAAAACTTCATTTTCAAGGATTCTGTTTATAAAGAAATGTGCTTAAAGATGCATTCAAAAGCATAATAACTAAAATGATCAGACAAAGTAAGCAAAGATATTACCTTAATATGCAATATTGCTGTTCCTGGAGGATGAGCATCTGTTATTGATCTTAGAAGTTTTCCACTGGCCAAATCCCACATCGTGATCTACAAGACAACTAAATGCTTCAAAAACCAATTTATTGCTCTTTTTTGGACTTAAGTATCCTGCCTTCTGGCTGAAATAATCCATCCCTGGTCTATAAACATTGCAGGCAAAGAACTATGAAGTTGAAACATAATTGAAGATTGCAGATCCATTAAAGCACAGGGCCTTTGTTCTGTCTTCATCTTCCCTTCGTCCTGCCCAACCTACTTTTCCCTTCAGATTTCAAATAGTTCTCTTATACTGAGACAAGTAAAAAACTTCTTTAATGAGTCAATCTCTTTACAATGGTAAACCTTATAGGAAAGGCTTACTGCCAAACTAACTAGTGATGTATAAGTCAGAAGATGAGAAAGGCCAAACCTTACTGCTAGTTTCATAAGTAGAAAGCAATACCCAAAGAGCTATCCAGTAACACAGCGATGAGAAGACAGAAAGCAGAATATAGTATATTTAAAAAGCAGCAACAACTATCTACACTACTCTAAGGAAGTAAATTTTGGTGTCACAGCCAGGTTGGTTTATAAAAGCTATTTACTTGTAAATATGGATAAAATAAAGTTCACGTTTACCTGTCCCTTAGCAAAGCCACAGAGAAGTCTTGAGCAGTCGTTGTTGATACTGAGGGCAGAGATGGCTCCATACTGACCTCCAACACTAGTGTTCCCCAGACAGAGTCGCAAAGCTTGATTCTGATCTAAAAAACAACATATAAAATCAGGTGAAAGAAATGGAAAATTGAAAAAAAATACAGTATTAGCTTGTTTTTAAAGACTTGGGAGGTAGCAACAATCACAAGAACCATATGATGAAGCTACATTCATTTTAATGTATTTACTGAGTGTCTACTAGATGCTGGGCATTGAGTTAGACACTAAGAATGAAGAAAAGGGGAGCCTGGATGGCTCAGTCGGTTAAGCATCCGACTTCGGCTCAGGTCATGATCTCGCAGTTTGTGAGTTTGAGCCCATGTTGGGCTCTGTGCTGACAGCTCAGAGCCTGGAGCCTGCTTCAGATTCTGTCTCTCCATCTCTTGGCCCCTCCCCTGTTCATGCTCTGTGCCTATTTGTCTCTCAATAATAAATAAATGTTAAAACAATTTAAAAAAGAAGAAAAAACCAGTTATCTACAAATAAGCATAATGTAGAACATGCTAACAATAAGTGAAAAAATCCGTAAGTATCTGTAGGTCTTTGAACAAACCAACTATCTTTCATCTGTCTCATTCTACAATTGTATTTCCTGCTGTTTTCAGGATGCGAGGTTACAGAGAATACCATCTTTTAAAGTAGCTCTAAAATTTCAAATATCAAAATTTATTAATTCGGAATTTGGCTGAAATTTACATTTATATTACCCATGAAGAAAAGGTTTCCTAAGGAAATTAACAATGCAAAGAAAATTACAGGGTAAACATTTAAACTACTTATTTTTCAAGCACCAACATTTGATATGCTAAAAGCAAATAATTCAAATCTCTACTAGATTAAGTTACTTAAGGGCAAGGATCTTGCCTCAATCACCTCTGATTTTCTCCAGGAGGTACTTAAATTTATTATTTAATAATTAAAAGAAATTCCTCTAATGTTCTCATAGGCAATGCTTATTTTGTATAGAGTTCATTATTGTACCTACTTGAAAACAATGAAATAAAAAATTTACGAAGTCACACCTACAGGGGCACCTGGGTGGCTCTGTTGGTTAAGCGTCCAACTCTTGATTTCGGCTCAAGTCTGATCCCAGGGTCATGGGATCTAGCCCCCTCTGGGCCTCCACACTGGCGTGGAACCTGCTTAAGATTCTCTCTCCCTCTTCCTCTGCCCCCTTCCCCACACGCACCTGTGGTCCCACATGCTCATTCTCTCAAAAAAAAAAAAAAAAAAGGCATATCTACAAATTTTAACTGTTTGAGGGAAAAACTCACCATATTTGCACAGTATGGAGTTCTATGACCTCATTTGGCAATTGCTTGTGCCTCCCTTAACTACTTACATGCTACTCTGGAGATAAGTATGTCTTACTTCCACTATTAGACTATGTTCTCTCTAAGGGCTAAGATCATGAGTGAATTAACATTCCCAGAATACCAAGCCTGGTGCCTTGCACTCAAGAGGCACCTGACAATCATCTGAATAGCTTCCACATTTGCAAATCTTCTGTCTGTAAGGGTAAAACTAATTACCAGAAAGACCCTAAAGATACTCATTCTCAGATCTAGGTAGTAATACCATGTAGACCTTTTGCTTGTCCAAAGTGAATACTACACAGTTTTCTGTGTTCCTAAACTGCGCAAATAGCAATCCTCACCTACCAAAGGAGCTCTGACACAATTAATGGATGTATCATATCTGACATACAGAAAATATTCAGTGTTTTCTGAAACCATCTTATTTTTTTACGTTTTGAAAGTTTTTATTTAAGTAATCTCTACACCCAACATGGGGCTTGAACTCAGAACTGAAGAGCTGCATGCTCTTCCGACTGAGCCAGCCAGGCACCCTTGAAATTATTTTAGATTTCAGCCTTCTAAGATGAATATTCAAAAAGGAATAAAATTCATAAATATACAAGGTCTTATGTATTTAAAAAGTCATTATCTTTACCCACATCTAGAATTATTATAATTACTGATTTCTTCCCCTTACTTTTTCTTCACTTAAATTCTTTTCCTCTCTCTCCCAATTTGATGCAAATTATTAAAATGTCCTTTATTCAGTTTTCCCAACTCTGAACATGACACCTCATTTCATTTTACTTTACTGAAACTGCCTAAAATAGTGTTTTCCATGATCTTATCTTGTCAGAGCTGCCTTTTACAATTAGTGGATTATCCATGTATCTTATTTTGCAAACTGTCAAGACAGGATGGTTAGGCAACAGTGTTATATATATATATATATATATATATA